GAGATCAGTTGGGCAGCTACCAAACTTGTGCATTTCTCTGAATTTCTGACTTCAGAGAAATGTCAGTTCAGAGCCTGCTAGGGCAATCTCTTGTTGGTAAGACAGGTCAAGGTGCTCCCGATTAAAGGCAAGTTGATTGCCCAGATGTGTAGGCACTGGTGTGGAGTCAAATGGGGTGAAGCAGGCAAAGGGTTGGGGTGATCGCAAGGGCAGTCAAACACTTGGGGGAACCTTGCTCAAATCTCTGCTGTCTCAGTGTGCTCATGATTGGGGTTCCTACTCAAATTCCCTCTGTCCGTTTCCTACCCAATGGTTTTCTCAGTGTTCCCTGCCTGGTGGCACTTATGCAGGTGCCCTCACACAACAACCCCTGCTCCAGCAGAGTCCTGGATCTGACAGGATCCGAAAAGTCAAGGTCAAATTCCCACCGACCCACTAGCCTCTGGCTGGTCTGCAGAGTCCACAGAAGTCAGCTGGCTGGCTCGTGTTGGGCAGTTGGTGTAGCCCAAGAGAACTTGGCCAAATTCCCCACCAGTAGGCACGCCCTTAGGTGCTCTCCCAGGAAATCAGCAATGCCCCAGTAAACCCAGCCAGGATCCTACCAGCCTTTCTTCTGCCAAATTAGTTTCACAGCAGCTCGGCTTATAGCTCCAAGGGTGATGGCTGGATCTGAGGTGGTGCCCTGAGGTCACAGGACTGTGGCGGGGCTGAGTTGTGGTTGTGGAGCTGCAAGGGGGGGGGCAAAGAAAGAGGGGAAAGCAAGGGACTAGGGGGTCAAAGGAGCATAGGGCTTGGACACTACCACCAAGAGGTAGGGGGCGGGGCTTGGGCGCTGCTGAGGGTTTATGCAGCGGCACCATGTGTGCTGGGGGTCATGCAGGTGGGGCTGCAGTGGGGTCACACAGTGGCAGGTAGTCGTGGCTCCTCTGATGTCACACGGTGTTTGCTCCTCTGGAGTTCCATGGTGGCTGGCAGACTGTTGCTCTTGCTGGGTCTCTTCTTGGCTGGCACTGCGGCATTCTGGCTGGCACTGCCGAAGAGCACTGTTTGGATCAGTGCATGCCAAGTAAGAGAAAATAATAATTCAGGGTTTCCTTTTCCTAAGCCTCACTCTACAGGTGACAGAGGCTGTTTCTTGCCTTAGTTTTAACCTTCTCTAATGTAATATCACTTAATTCATATTCATGCAAAGATTCAGCCATATCTCTTTGCAATTTTTTTTATTATGAGTACAATCCTGCACAGTCGTTGTTACTATTCTTATCAAAGCCCATACTGGCCGAAAATAAATTTTTTCTCCTTTTTGATGTGTTTTTCATCAATGTCTCATAGCATTATGCCAGAATTTTAAATTTAACTGAGCTCTACCTAGTAGTTTAAACCAGTAACATTTCTGTACATACTGAAACAACAGCAGAAAAGATTCTTTCAAGTTTACCCCTGAACTCTCAAGCAGTTCCTTTAAGAGAGAACTATATTGAGCTTCAGAGGATGGGGCATCCCCCATGACTCTTTTTTCACTTATACCTCTGAGTTTTTAAGCAGAATACTTCAGAGGGTGGGAAAAGTCCTCATGAAACTTTTTGTAGTCCTCCTCTTGACTTTCTCCTTCAAGGGGTGGGATTTCCTCATGACTCTGCCTGAAAAAAAAACTTTCCTGGAAGGCTTCACTTACCTTTTGGTTTTCAGAGAGAGAGAGAGAGAGAGAGAGAGAGAGAGACTGAATGCTACTTTCTTCTGGTCCCTGTTTGGTTGTCAAGATGTTGTTAACCAGATTCAGAAAGAAAATGAATGCATGAGGAAATGAATTCTGAAAAAGAGTAATGCTTAGGCAGAGGTCCTCTCACAGCTTAGCACTGTGAAAAGGCCCCTTTCTCAGTTTTCCTATCATTTTTATTTAGCTTAAGCCAACAACGACAACAAAAGATTCTTTTCTCATGAAGCTATATTTTCCTTATGTAAGTGTTCAACGGGTCAGCTTAATCTTTAAACTAAGACCAAAGTCAGACACGGCATCCCCTCTGGTGGGAGGGTGGGAGGAACCTTCTGTTTGCAGAGGGCATCCAGTATGTACTGTGGAGGGGCTTAGCAGAATTCTCTGTTTGCAAAGGGTGCTCAATCCTGCCTAGATTCTGATCTCAACTGTGGCCTGGCTATCACTATGCTGATCTATCCACAGCTGAACACAGAGATTTCATATTACACAGCTATTCCACTGCCGGGTAAACAGAACTGAGACATATATGAAGAGTTGTAAACCAATGTTCATAGCAACATTATTCACAATAACAAGAACATGAAAACAGTTTAAATGTCCATCAACAAATGACTGGATTGAAAAATTGTGGTACAGTCACATGATAGAATATTATGCAGCCCTTTGTTGTTATGTGCCATTGAGTCGCTTGCGACTCATAACAACCCTATGTACAACAGTCCTAAACTTTGCTCTGTCCTGTGCCAAACTGCCTCTGACACACCCATCCCGATTATTCCAGTCACTGAATCAATCCACCTCATAGAGGGCCTTCCCCTCCTGTGCTGTCCCTTTACCCTCCCAAGTATGATGTCCCTCTCCAAGGACCGATCCCTCCTTACAACATGTCCAAAGTATGTCAGACAAAGCCCCAGAATCCTTGCCTCCAAGGAGCAGCCTGGTTTAACCCTCTCCAGGATGAATCTGTTTGTTTTCCTAGCAGTCCATGGTACCCTCAATACTCTTCTCCAGCACCACAGCTCAAAGGCGTCAATTCTCCTTCTGTCCTCCTTAGTCACTGTCCAACTCTCTGATGCATAACAAGTGACTGCAAAGACCATGGCCTGTATCAGATGCACCTTAGTCTCCAGACAGACACCATTGCTCTTCAGGACTCCAGAGAGGTCCTTAACAGCAGACTTTCCCATGGCAATGTGCCTTTTAATTTCCTGGCTACTGGTGCCAAGAGTGTTGACTGTGGAGCCAAGCAAACTGAAGCTGTGAACAATCTCAATCTCTTCACCATCCATCCTGATGCTGTCAGTTGGTCCAGTGGTGAGAATCTTAGTCTTCTTGACATTGAGCCTCAATCCACATGGGAGGCTGCAGTCCTTGACCCTCTGCAGCAAGCACTTCAAGTCCTCCTCAGTTTCAGCAAGCAGGGTTGTGTCATCTGCATACCGCAGATTGTTGATAGATCTGCCACCAGTCTTGACCCCACATTCCTCCTCATAGAGCCCAGCCTCCTGGATAATCTGTTATGCATACAGGTTGAAAAGTTATGGACAGGACACATCCCTGGCGTATGCCCTTCCCAATTTTGAACCATGCAGTGTTTGTAACATAGGAGAGACTAGAAAGCATTTTACTGAGTTAACTAACTCAGGCACATAAGAACGAACACTTTATAAGACCATTATTGTAAAAACAGAAGGAAAACCAGTATGATCGTATGGCTATTCAAAGAGGGAAGGGGAAAGGACAGAGGAGCTGAGGGTGAGGAAGATGGGAAATCAGGAGTTTGCAGAGTTTGGTGGGTGGAAGGAGGGAGCAAAAAAACAAAAGCAAAACAATATTTATAAATGAAACACAATGCAGATAATAATTGTATACAAATTTAAAACATTAAAAACCTCTGTAGGCAAAACTGGAGATGTAGAAACTGCAAAATGAGCTTGAGCATAGCAGAGGTTATGAGGACGGCAAAGAACGGGGCAGGGTTTAATCCTCTTGTTCATGGGGTGTCTCTGAGTCAAAGCCTATGCCCTGGATCCTAACATGGAACATACAGGGCTGGTCTCAGAAGATGTATTACCCTCCACATTTCTCCCTTAATGCTGGGAAGTCATTGGATATTGCACTCCTGTTGAACATTCATTCAATGTGGAAGGTAACTCACCTCAAAAACTCAAGGGGTTCATAAACTCCAGACCATATTCCATACCCTAGTCTCTAACCTAACCACCACTCAAATAATAAATTTCAGGAATCATGTCTTAAGGGATGCTCTAGGCCCATGAAGGGCTCACCATGGTTCCTGGGGGCTCTCTGGGTGACAACAGGTGACTAGTTGCAGTGGAGTGGATTGAGGCTAGTAATCATCCATTGGTGTCAGAATAGCATGAGATCATGACTACTCTGATGGGAACCAGCATCCTCACTTCCCACTTCCCCCTTCCCCTTTCCTCTGGATAACGTTCTATACTCACTTTCCTCAGAATCTAGACTCTACACCCATCACTGTATCTTTTTTAAAATTTTTTAAAAAATTCATAAACCCACAAAATATAGCATGATCCTCCAGCATAAATAGTCCTATGTGAGGACATGGAAACATTTTACAGGTTTGCCTCACATCTTTAAAGCAAACACAACAGAAAACAAAATAATCAAAGACTGTCAGGATCCCCTTCTCAGTTCCATTCTGCAACCTTCCTCATGCAGAACCACAATCCTAGACTCAGTGGGACTCCAAGTCTCACCTTTATGCTTGCACTGCACACATAAATCTCCACTGATACGTTAAAGTGTGTTGTGTTCCCATCCAAAGTGTAAATATTGTTGTCTCCAGTGAGTTGTCTACAACAATCTTCATCGCTTCACCAGACCTTTGTGTCCTTGCCTAAGTCTATCTTACTCTGAGGCTCAGAGTGAAGCAAACTTCTGGTCAGCTTTTGAGGAGAGAGACAAGTGGCATTGTCCAGGTTAAAGAAGGGCTGGAGACAATAGTTCTCAGGGGCAATGCCTCTTAGAGGTGAGGATGATGAGACTTCATTTTATAAACTACAGACATGTTGTCAAGGAGAGGGCAAATATTTAAAGAAGGACATCATGCTTGAATAAGTGGAGGATCAATGAAGGAGAAGAAGACTCTTGATGAGATGAATGGACACAGTAATTATGACCATGGGCTTGTGCACAGGGGAGACTACCAGGATGATGCAGGATCAAGTGCATTTCTGTTCTATTGCATGTAGGATTGTTAAGAGTCGCAGCTTGCATGATGGCACCTAACAACAGCATGCCACATTGAGAACTAAGGTATTTTCAAGTGTCTTTATGCATGTGAAAGTTATTGCTGTGTGTTGACTTTTTGTGCCGTAGAGTTGCCGATGACTTATAGCAACGCTATGTACAAAGCTCTGAAAACTGCTCTATTCTGAGTCAGTCTCACTGACTCTGACAAACCTACCTTCATTACCCCAGTTACCACATCACTTAATCTCATCCAACATCTTCCTCTCCTGCGCTGCCCTTCCATTTTTCAAGCAGGTGAAAGTCTGGGCAATGAAAATGGAAGATGGCTGAAAAATGGGTGCTTTTGAATCATAGTTTTGGCAAAGAATATAGAATATACCTAGGACTGCCAAATGAACAAATAAATGCCTTGGAGAAGACAACCAGAGTGCTCTTGAGAGGCAAGGATGGTGAAACTTAGTCCTCCATGCTTTTGGAACATTACCAGTTCTTAGAAAAAGACAACCTATTGGGGAAAGTAGAGGGTCTGAATTGAGAGGAAAACTCTCAATAAGATGAACTGACATTATGGCTGGGTCACAGTGGGCTTGAGCACAGCAGGGAATGGTGCAGGGCTGTGTTCTCTTGTACATGGGATCACTATGAATCAATGAAACCTAACAAGAACTATGTCGACTATTAACTCTACTTTTGACTTTGTACAACTGTACATTTGAAAATCTTAAAAAAATGAGAGGTGTTTTTCTTTTAGAAAAAAACAGACAACCAACAACCAAACCACCAAATTAAATTATGTCAATAGCTAAGGCAGAAACCAGACTGAGAGTTATGTGAAAAATACAATGTGAAGAAGAAAAAAAACAAAGACATATAAATGAATAATCTCAAGTAGAGTATTCCCTTTAAATTCAGACTCCACATCACCTCTTCAATAATTCTTGAAATTCTTGCTGGTCAATATAGAAGAACAAAACAAAACCTACAGATGAAAAAATACTTAAAATATAAATTTGTAAATGATATGTCTACAAGACCAGAAAATCTAGAATAGTAACAGAAAAAAAAGAAAAATTCCT